CTTTAATTCAGATTGTGACCTCAGAGATGTATCTTTCGGCTCCCTCTGGTGGTGCAGGCTGAAAATAACACCTTTAAAAAAAAATAATGTAGAAGCTTTTTATGAGTCTCCTCTCTCAAATTTTGGTCATTTGGAAGGAAGTTTGACTACCAGCTGGCTTGCTTTAAGATAGATGGGCTTCGACTCCCAGAATTCCCCAGTCAGCCTGCTTTAAGACAGGCAGACTTCAACTCCCAGAATCCCTCAACCATCATGCTTTAAGAGGGGTGGACTTCAACTCCCAGAATCCCTCAGCCATCATGCTTTAAGAGGGGTGGACTTCAACTCCCAGAATCCCTCAGTTGGCATACTTTACAACTGTCCTGATTTACGACCAAATTGTGGGCTTAAGGTCAGAGGTCGAAGACTACCTGTAGTTAAGTTCAGTCTTTTTTCAACCTTAGAAACTCTTAAGATGGGTGGACTCCAACTCCCAGAATTCCCCAGCGGTCCAGCTCAACCCTGCCCTTCCCCAAACCCAAGGATCGATCAGCTGTCACCCCTAAGATTTAGGGTAACCCAACTGAATAAATTATAGCTCCATCTTCCAAGGCGTGCAACGGATTGTCGGTGTGGAGTCGTACAATCCCAAAATTGGCTGGATCTGCAAGATGCATCCCCGTTCATGCCCCCAACTGCAATGGATGCAACCATCACGACAAAGGAATTTCGGGTTCATCAAAAGGTTTTCCCTCTGATTGACAGCTCTAACCACTAGTCGGGGCCACCTGATCTGCCAATCCTGCAACTTCTCTCCCCAAACCACGAATTTCAGTTCTCCAGAATGACCCAATATCCATATATAAAAAAGCGAAATGCCCTTCATGCGTCATCACAAAATCTCCAGCACCATAAAGCCCACAAACTTGAAATTTGGCACATAGGTTCCTCTTGGCTTCTAGGGACTCACTAAGAAAGGATTTTTCTAAATGACCCTCAGAGCATTTAGAGTATTTCCTATATTATTATTATTATTATTACGCTCTGATGCTAAGGAGTTCTACTCCCCCTCCCCACCTGGAAAGAAATCTCTTCCAAATGCAAAACACAAGC